TAGGCGCTAGTACACATTTTCTGTACAGAATTTCCAAAAAACACAAGTGAAGAAGAAACCGAAACAACAGATGCTTCCACATGTAATCTAACATGATCATCAGACATAAAACAGCATCAAAACTGTGTAAAGTTGATGTAATGTCGACCCATGAAGAGGTAATAATGACTGTCAAGCTTTGGGGTGTTGATCGACTCTATCTACATTTTGATTATCGTTCTGAATCCAATTCATAGTCTTTTTTCCAGCTTTTTGTTCAAAATGTTGTTTATTTCTTTTTTTTTTTATTATTTATGAAACTTACCCACATACAAGTGCTTAAAAAAAGAATGCATGAAGCTAGAATAAAATGTTTTTGTTTACAAGCAGATACCCTGTTCTTTCTTTTGGTTGTTACTGTTATACTTAAAGTATACTTAAAAGTATACTTTAATATACTAGAAAGTGGGCCAATTTAGTCCCAAGGAGTATTGAAATAGTACACTTACAAGTATACTACTTGTACACTGATATTTGTATACTTGCTACATAAAGTATACTTAAAAATATACTTGAACTTTACTTAAGTATACTTAATAAAATAAACTTGAAGTATACTACTTTTTGGTAAGGGCATACAAAGAGTACAATAAACAGAATAAAGCAAATACACTGATTAATTATTGTTTACTGCAACTCTCCTTGTTTGAAATGAAGAGGATTAAGCATTTCTTGTTTATAATTGGCTTATTGGAGTCTGAAGACACGTTCTCTAATATGGAAATCTCTAATGTCTCTAATCTCTTTCATCAGTTGTTCTGATGAAATGATACATGAGTGACTTTTTGTATTGAACATCACTAGCCAATAAATCACCTATGTCAATTTTTTTATTCATTGTTACGTGACTCTCTGGAATACTGATTGAATGTTGTTTGCTCAAGTAAATATGAGAGATCAGGTTTTGTTGTTCTTTTTGCCTTCTCTCAGTTTCTCTTTTAAAACAAAGAAGCTGGATGTGTAAGTCAAATGCGAACAAAGAAATTGCCTGTGGATCTGAATCATGAACAGAGAGGGCCCTGGGGGATCTCTTCAAGCTGCATGGGAATTTGTCACAGGGGCCACGTTTTGACCTTTGACATGAAGCTGTGACAGCCCTGATTGTCCAGATTTTCTTTTCTGCATCTCATTTAATAATTCAAGGTAAACAGGGTTGTTTTTTTCCTTTGTTGTGTCTCCCTGTTCAATTCTCACACTCACACCCCCACATTCTCACCTCCGGTAAGCACGTCTCTAGCAATAAGAGCAATGTTATAATTACAATTACCTCTTTGCATAACAATGTGAATGGCCAAGTACATCTACAAGCTATATTGAGGAACACAGGCGACAACGGGC